GATGATGGAGATTGAGAATGAGAGGAAGAAGATGAATAGAAAGAAAGAGATTGAGAAGAAGATGATGAAGATGAAGAGGAAAAAAGAGAAGAGGATGATGAAAAGAAGAGCTGGAGTAGAAGAAGACATGACGAGTGAGAAGAGGACAAGAATTATGGATTTACCTGATGAACTTTTAATAGAAGAAATTTTCAGGAGGATAAAAGACCCGGAAGATCTATGGTGCATGACAAGAGCGACCAAGCACTGGAATTTACACTTTAAATCCATGACTAATCCATACTCTGGACTGGAACTTGTCTACGGTTTTCTAAAGCTAATTAGTATAAAGTTTACTTTTTACAAAAAAGATAGGACAATAAGTTCAATACCAGCTTGGAAAAGAGTAATCTGGTAGTTAGTTTTATTATTATGATTATGATAACTTGAAAAAAAATAAGTATCAGAACCTTATGAGGTATTTTTCAGCTTGGCTAAAGTTATCAATAAATAAATAAAAAAGTTTATTGGTGTCACTTTAGTGGTTTAAACTCACCAATGGAAAATTAACATTGAAGGAGTTATCAAATGTGCTACTAGATCTTTATTAATATACATGCAAAATCAGCTATTTAATAAGTTGATCTTTGGTGGGCCGGTCCCTATTAGTCCACTAAAGTTTGATGGTTTAGCCCACAATTCAGACGACTTCCAACGTTCTTTATTAAAAAAAAATGGGAGTTTAGTAATAAAACCCCTCAATTAAAGATTAATAGTAAGAAAACCCCTCAATTAAAATCGAACGATAAAACCCCTCAACGTTAATTCTGTTATTAATGTTTTCCCCCCTCCGTCTACAGTGTCATGAAAACGACATTCATACAGTTAAACAACACGATGTGTAAAGAAAACAACAAGAAGTCCTTTTACCGAAATCACCACCAATTTGTATGACTAACGACGAAATTGATATGCGAAATGTTGTTTTCTACTTCACCTGTTTTGATTTGAATAATAAAAGCTGTGTGGATTTGTTGGATTAGTTTCTTAACCAATTGTAATTATAGAGAAAAGTGTGAGTTATAAAACTCCAATTTTAATTAAAGCCATCTCCGTAGCTTCCACAGTCGCCGTTCAGATGACCACCGCTGAGTTAAATCCACTGCCGTCTCGCTCCGTTTTTCTCGGTGTCGACGTTGGCACTGGAAGCGCCCGTGCCGGTGATCTTCTCTCCTTTTTTTCTCATGGATTAAAACATCTCTCTCTCCACTTTTGGAAAATAATAATTGTGTGGTTGTTAAAAGATGCGTCAGAATGATATGATGCCACTTGATTTGTTGGTTGTCGATGGAATTTGATATCAGTCTCTCTATAAATTTTGATTCTTTTGTGTGATTGAATTGCACAATTTCACCTTTTGTAGCTTCTAAGAGTTGATTTATTGATGCAGGGTTGTTCGATGAAAATGGGAAGCTTCTAGGCTCTTCTAGTAGCCCAATTCAGATTTGGAAGGATGGGGACTGTATTGAGGTAATTATTTTGGATATAGGGAGATTGAGTTCAAGTGTTACTTAAATTATTATAACATGAGAATTTTATTGGAACAGCAATCTTCTACCGATATTTGGCATGCGGTTTGTGCAGCTGTGAGAGCTGCTTGCTCTCTTGCAAATGTTTCTGAAGTAGAAGTGAAAGGAATTGGCTTTGCTGCTACCTGCTCTCTCGGTTTGTAGCATCTGCTTTGAACCCGTTTTGTGTTTTCTTTGGGGGGGGGGGGGGGGGGGGGGGGATGATGAAGGGAAACTTTACAATAACAATGTGACTCTTGTTTTTTGTTTGTAGTTGCGGTTGATGCTGAGGGATCCCCTGTTACAGTGTCTTGGAGTGGTGATTCAAGAAGGAACATTATTGTATGGATGGACCATAGAGCTGTAAAGCAGGCTGAGAGAATCAACTCTTTTAATTCTCCAGTCTTGCAGTATTGTGGTGGAGGTGTTTCTCCTGAAATGGAGCCACCAAAAGTAGGTAGAGGTTTCTTTAGGGTACTTTATGTGATTGCTGTATGCTTCTTGGTGCTCGAATGAATAGAAAGAATTCTCCTTTTGCAGCTTCTGTGGGTGAAAGAAAATCTTAAGGAGTCTTGGTCAATGGTTTATAAGTGGATGGACTTGAGTGACTGGCTTTCCTACAGGTGCGCCACACTTTTTGTTCTTTAACTTTTTGTCCCCTTGAGATAATTCTATTTGTGTTCCCTGATTCCTTTTGTTTCCTCCTAGAGCTACTGGAGATGATACACGTAGCTTGTGCACCACAGTATGTAAATGGACTTATCTTGGCCATGCCCACATGCACCAGATGAGTGAGAAGGCTTCTCGTGATATGGAAGCGTGTGGGTGGGATGATGAGTTCTGGGAAGAAATTGGCTTAGGCGATTTGGTAGATGGGCACCATGCTAAGATCGGTATGCATATTTCTTTGTCTGATTAGCTGTTACAGGAACTGTGAAACCGTTACTTTTACCTTGTAACTATGTTCTTTCTATTGTTATATAGGAAGAAGTGTAGCTTTTCCGGGGCATCCACTGGGTAATGGTCTAACTGCATCCGCTGCTAAGGTAATTTTTTCTACAGAGCAACCACTTAAATTTAAGAATTAGAGGTATTTAGATACAAGAGTAAACACTTTATTTGTTCTGTGGGTCTTAGGGGTTACTTACCTATATTTCCATTCTGTTACATATTTCCCTTTATCTTTACTTTTTTTTCATAATTCGTAGGAACTGGGTCTGTTGGCTGGAACTCCTGTTGGCACTTCACTCATTGATGCTCATGCCGGTGGTGTTGGGGTTATGGAAAGTAAATCAGATTCAGACTCCTTGACGAAAGGTATACTGGACGGAAGGTCTACATACTTTGCTACAATAGTATAGCGTAATGTGATATATCAGTCCCTAAGAACTGGCCTTTTCAAAGTCAGATGTGGATACCTTATGCTCTCGAATGGTCTTGGTATGTGGCACCTCAACTTGCCATATGGCTGTTTCCCGTGAAAAGCTATTCATCCCTGGCGTGTGGGGGCCTTTTTGGTCAGGTAAAATACCCATATGCTATCTAATTCTTTCTTTTTGATATATGAAATCTCACTCGTGTTTCACCAAAACTTTGCAGCTATGGTTCCAGAGTATTGGCTTACAGAAGGAGGACAAAGTGCCACTGGAGCTTTAATTGATCACATCATAGAAAATCATGTTGCTTCTCCTCGTCTTGCAAATCGTGCTGCTTCCCAGAGTATCAAACCAAATCCAAATTTTTTGACTATTTCCCTTCTATATTCACTTATGTTACATTACATTGGGTTGAGTGCTTTTGTCTTGGTCTCTTGCAGAAGTTTCTGTGTTTGAACTGCTGAACAACATTTTGAAAACGTTGGCTGAAGAGACAAGTTTTCCATTTATAGCTGCCCTTACCTCAGACATGCATATCCTTCCTGACTTTCATGGAAACAGGTGACTAAAACAGAGAGCTGCTGCTCTGTTTCTTCCTTCTTGAGTTAATATTGATTTAAAGCTGTGTCACAGATCTCCTGTTGCCGACCCAAATTCTAAAGGAGTGATATTCGGAATGACTCTTGACACATCTGAGAAGCAGTTGGCTCTGCTATACCTCGCCACAATACAGGGAATCGCATATGGTACACGTCATATTGTAGAGCATTGCAATGCCCATGGTCACAAAGTAAGATTTCTTCACACATAGTAGTTCTATAGAAACAGCACAAGACATTCACTATCACAGGGGAAAAAACCACCTCATATTTCTCTGCCTCTACATTTGATGTAGATTGATACACTACTTGCTTGTGGCGGCCTCTCAAAGAACCCATTGTTCATCCAAGAACATGCTAATATAGTTGGTATATTACAAACCACACTCATTTTCCTCTTCTATATTCTAATCACTAAAAAATCCTGAAATGATAATCTTAACTGGATTGATCTATTCGCAGGTTGTCCGATTATTCTTCCACGAGAAAGCGAGTCTGTTCTCTTAGGAGCAGCAATTCTTGGAGCAGTTGCTGGCAAGAGCTATCCTAGTCTCCATGATGCCATGAAAGCTCTGAACGCAGCTGGACAGGTATACACTATTCTAACTTCATTGATCGGGTATTCATACATTGATCATGTTATTTATACTGTCACTTGTGATGGAATTTTCAGGTGGTTCATCCATCATCAGACCCTAAGATTAAGAAGTATCACGACGCCAAATACCATATTTTCCGTAGCCTCTACGAACAGCAATTGTCTCACCGTTCCATCATCACCGAAGCTCTTGCATAGTGTCCTGATCAACAAAAACTGTATAGCTCTCTCATCTCTGCAACATTTACCTCTCTTTTGCTACGGTTTTTACAATAATAATAACTGGCTTTGTGCCTTTGGTTGACCTTCTTGACAATCTCTGCGTAAAATACTACATAATGTCATGTTATGTTCCATGCCTCATTTCATAGGGAACCTCATATATATGTGGTTGAACACTCAGTCTTGATGAAAATGTTAATTTTTGGTTCAATAATGTCAAAAGGTAAATAATAAAGAAAGATGAAACATCGATATCCAACTACTGCTGGCTGACTTAGTTCCAAAACAAATATTTATTATCGTTTATTAAATAGTAGTTATACTATTGTTAACGAAAAGTTCTTTATTGTAAATCTTCTTACCCCAAGACTTTTTGGGGTGGCAAATCTATAATATTTATATACCTACTATGCATAAACTATACGTTAAACACATATAAAATTACTTTAATACATGCTTAATTATTAACAAAATCTAAGATTTCAAAACAAATTCAAATGTGGCTATCATAATCGAACATGTACACCACTTAATCATAGAGTTGACACTTTCTCCCTGATAATATTAAAAAACCTTACAAACAAATTTCATCTCACGAGTTCAAGCTTAATATAAAACCAAAGAGAATGCCATTTCATTTGTTCAAGCCTCACCCGAAATGGCTCCTCCAAAACACATTAGTGGTGTTTCGGTTGCTATCACGACTCTGATACTTCTTGTAACATGTTGTCATTGCGCAACCTACCAACAACAATTCATGGGTCCACAAAACGCAGTAAGAGCTCGTTTGAGGCTCAAACCGCTAAAATGGGACGCCAAATTGGCCCGTTACGCACAATGGTGGGCTAACCAAAGACGCCGGGACTGCGCCTTGATCCATTCCAATGGACCCTATGGTGAGAATCTCTTTTGGGGGTCAGGCAAGAGATGGAGCCCGTCTCAAGCCGCATATGGATGGTTGTCGGAAGCAAGGAGCTATCACTATAGATCAAACTCTTGCAACGGCGAGATGTGTGGACATTACACACAAATTGTATGGAAGAACACACAAAGGATTGGCTGCGCTCACGTGATCTGCGATGGCGGAGGAGGCGTGTTCTTGGCTTGCAATTACGATCCCCCGGGGAATTTTCTTGGTAGGAAGCCTTATTGAGTTTGATCCATTTGTATATGTCAAACACTCATGCCAAAAGAGGCTGCTCTTGCGTTATAAAGTTATTTTTTTATTGGTTCATATTTAAAGTGAGATCGGGAAAACAAACATGTTTTCCGACATTTTCTTATGTGTGTTTATGTGAGGGTCAATTCTTTTGGCTAATAAGACTTAACGAACTATATAAATCTCAGATTTTGGACTGTTACACTCATATAAGGTTTTTCTGAAGAAATATGTTTTTCTCATAAAAGGTTTTGCAAGTGATTTTTTTTTCAATTTGACAGCAAGTAAGCAGTAAAAAATTTCAACCTTTCCCGAAGGAAACAAGAGTGGAAACAAGAACTCTTAAACCATCTGATAGTTAGATCATTCCTCCGTTGCAACAGACATCACTTGCCCCTGTAGTAAGATATAAGACTGATTGAGTTAACACTTTGTGGTTACACAAAAATGCAATCTGAATGTCAAGTTTGTATCTTCACATTCAGGGAAAGCAGAATTGGAGAGATGGGAAACAAATGTGCAGAAGAAGATGATGATACTTACGCGTTCATCATCAGAGTTATGTTGTCTCCTTTAAGCAAAATCCTTCCTGAAATCCAGTTTTTGTACAAATTAGCATCAACCACTGCGAAAACTATGTAAGAAATGTGAACCGGAATCTTGTAGAAGAAGGGTCTGAGAGAGTCACAAACAACTCACCAAGTGGTTTTCTGGTCTTCTTCTTGATGCTTACTTCCTCAGCTTCATCCAGCACCAAATTCATGTACTCATCAAAACCCTGCAGAACAGGAAAGTTAAAATAACTAAACAATGAAACATTCAAAGTCAACTAAACGACTCCTGATTAAAAAACAAAAGATAAACCAAAGATATGACATATGATAAATCTTAACCATCTCTGTTATCATCTAAACAGCAATATGGCAATACAAAAGCAGTCTTAAATCTAGATGATAAGCACCAACAACCAAAATAATCAAACTAATTGCTATCAATTGATCCCTTACAAAAATCAAACAATGTAATTACAATATAGCTTTACTGTGTAACTAAATTAGTGGTACCAATACAAGAACTAGAAACAACATTACGACAAAATTCAAATGTTACATATCACATAAAAGTCCTACCTTAGAGAAATATATGACATAGTGATAATTTTCTTCTCAGGTAAACAACACAAAGCAACCCAATTTTCTACTTAAGACTATCAACAAAGCCAGAAACTTTAATTTTGAGCTATGCCCAAAACATGACTTACAGTAATACGTCCCTCAATCCTCAAATCTTTCTGCTCAAAAAGCCAAATCTGAATCCGAGCTTTCTGCATTATAAGAACCAGAGTATATAAGTCTTATATCGATGGTTCCAAAACACATAAGGAGTAACGCAATAAAAAGTAATGAGAGTAACACTTACACTTTGGAGAAACCTGAAGATCAGATTCTGAAATCAAAAAGTTAAAAAGAGTTAGTAAACTAGACAGAGTGAGATTTAGAGACAAGAACCAAAAAAAAAGGATCAAATCGAAGAAAATTTACAATAGGTTGGGTCATAATTCTCTGAACTTTGGTGCTCGCCATGGCTGCTGAAGTTGCAAGTTTTCTTCGTAGGACGGAGCTCGAAACTCACTGAAGAAGATTTATCTTTCTTAAACCCTAAATTGTTTGCAAAATCTGAATTTTCTCTTCCCACCGAGAGAGAGACAAAAAAGAGTTCTCACATTTAAACTTTGATATATTTAGTTTCTTAACCCTCATCATTTTTTTCATTGTTTCGTTTTCTCCCCATAAAAAGTTGATTTAACTGTTTAGACCCCATAGTATCTGCCAGATAATTTACAAGATCTCAAGAAAAAAATTCATTCGACATTCAAATGATTTCTTGAATCTTAATTCAAAGAAGAAATACTGAAAATTTAAGATAAATTATAAATTCTTCATCATAATTCATAACTTTAATAAATAAATACACAAAGTTAAATGCTTCACTAGCACATAGCAGAACAACAAGAACAGCAGCAGAAGCTGAACAAGGATCACTATTTTTAACTAATTGATCGAACAGAAAATACAAAAAGAATCAGGCTTCTTAACTTTTATATGAACCTCTTTGAAAATGCGAAATGTAGGAATAGTCTCATTGATCATTCGCCATTGATCATTAACGATTGAAAAGGAACCTTTTTGATCTCAACGAAAGTCGAATAATCATTCTTCATCGGTTGCTTCCATGGTTCACCATCCATTTGCAAGAACACGTTGTTCCAATCACCTCCTCTTAGTTCAAATCTAATCGCAGCCGCCTGAAACGATAAACGGTTTAAGATCAAAAACCGAGGTTGAACCGGTGTACTTTAGAGAAGTGTTGAGTGTTTTCTTTACCTGAGCAATGTGCTTAGCTGTGATGATCTCAGCCATTACAAATGAAGCATGCCAACCTTGCTTTAAACCAAAAATCTCTATAAGCCCATCATCACAATGCGCCTCGACAAAACCTCTCTGTTATAAACCGTTCTGTTAAAGCTTGAAGAGAAAGCGATATAAGAGACGATTAGCGTACTGAATAAAACATTACCTTCTCTAAATATTTCGGTCTTAGATTACCCCATGGATGTCTTCCACTTCCATAGTTATAAAGATTCAATACCACAATAGATCTCACGCTATACAAAACCAAACAAGAGAGATTGTAATTTGTAACTGAAGCCATATTTTAGTTCCCAAAACTCATAAAATAGTGTTTCTTTTACCTTTTAGGAACATGAACCTCTTCCCATTCTGAGCAATTTGCTTTTTTAATGTGTATTTTCATGATGTTTCTAAGTCCCCTGCAAATTCATCTTACCACAACATGTCAACTTAGGGGATATGAGTTTGTTTAGTAGAACATGGATACAACAGGCTTTTTTTTCACTCTCTTCCACTGGAAAATGCTAACCTTAGAGCAGGATTGCTGACACAAGGCGTGCAAAACCAACCCTGAGTGCAACTGTAACTTGAATAAATGATCTGCAAAACCGAAACTAGTCTGATTCATAATCTCATCACAAACCGAAAATACCAGCTAATTTAGTGCAGCATAGATAAGCATGAAGATTATGATATATATAACAACCTTATTTGTAACAGGGCCTTGAGCTAGATAAGGTTTCTCATTGCGAAGATGGTGGAATCCATATGCAACTTGAGCATCCATACCTTGACAACACAAGAAATATAAAAAAAAATTACCACAAAAGGACTAATATGTAGAAACTTGTTAATCATATAAAAATTAAGTTAGTTAATCAATACAAACCTATGCTAAAGTAGTTGTAGAACACTCCTTCATATGACTTTGCTTTAAGAGGTACATCTCCATTAGCATCCAAAGCCTGATCAAGTGCAGTTTCCTCTGTTGTAGGCTTCAAAGAATAAGGGGGATCAACGACTTCTCCAGATGGCATCGACACAACAATCTTCCAGCTATCTAATCGAGAAACGGTACCCAAAGTTGCTCGATGTAGTGTTCTTTTCATAGCAGATCTCCAAACAAAAGGGAATGAACCACCCCAACTAAAACTCCTGGAAAGGTCATTTCCTGTACCGAGAGGGATAACTCCAACCGGAGGAATATGTGAGTTTGCGTCTTTGTGAAGCTCACCAAGACATCCAAGAACCCAACCAACAGTACCATCACCACCTGCTACCTACCATCATCATCATTGCCGCTAACTTAACAAATCTAATTCCATTTGCTAAAAGTGAGAAAACAAAACTCATGCTCTGGAAGTAAGTGTATACATACTCACCATGATCCTCATCTTTTCTCTGCATTCTCTTGCACATTCATCTCCTTTAGCTGCCAATGTATCCAAGCACGCCAAACCATACCGTACAAATTCATGAGGTTTCACTTCTGTGAGATCAAATACCTGTAATTTGCAAAATCAACATGATCTCACAAAAATAAGTACAAATACCAAAAAATCGCAAAACTCCAAATTATGTCACAGTACAAACAACAACATAGATTTGCCTACAACAATCCAAGAAATAAAGTTTCCACTTTTGTGTGAGACAACAAAAGTTCTAACAACCTTCACTACCAAGAAACATCAACAAATCAAATCCTACACAGGAATCACAAGCTTTAAGACAAAACAGTTTATAACTTCTCCTAAACAGAATGAGAGAGAGAAACAGAAGATTTGATCCATGTCAGAACAATAACAATGTGGTGCCTCTCAGCCTCAGGTCAGAGTGATTCCATTTACAGTCAAAAGTCAAAACCCAAATCTAGTGAAGTAAAAATGAAAAGTAAACCCAAACCTGAGCCCAAGTTCATTTCAGAAACCTTCACCAAACCAATAGCAAAATTTATGTAAAGAGGCAGCTCATTAACCTGTTCGTCGGTCATCAACTGTTGAAGCCTCTCTTTAAGAACAGGACCGTGACGACCTCCACTTTTGGGGTTAATGAACACAACCATCGGCGCGTGAGGAGCCATCTCCGCAGCGGCGCCGCCAGGAAGTAGCAAATGATCAGGAACCGCCGTTGGATCTTTCCGCTTGATACACTCTCTCATAGCGAGACGAAGATACTCAGGCATAGCTAACCTCCCTCGAAGCTCCTCTCTGTCTACACCAACCCATGCAAGGCTAGCAAAACCGCAGCCTTTCTTCTTCACTGCATCGGTCGTCGCCGACGGTCGTGTCGCCGCCGGGACAAAATTAGTCGTCGACGCTTCTCCGACTGATCTAGGCGTCTCCTCCATTACTAAATCCTTTGGAGAAAACAAAAAAAAAAAGTTTAGATTTTTAGAAACAATAGACTAATTTGATGATATGAACATGACAGTTTGGTTTTTGTTTTTATAAGATTATTACTTTTCGAAGACAGAGCAAATCAAAATTGGTGTACTTTGATCGATGTTCGTATATATTTTTATTTAAACGTGTGTTAGATTTTCCCCAAAAAAATGTTTATTTTATTACTTTCGTAGAAAAAAACGAAAATGCCCTTTTTAGAACTACGAATTTACAAAATGCCATTAGTTAGTCCCCTTGATTTTTCTGTGACCATTTTACAAGGAACGAATTTAAAGATTATTAATTTTATTACTTCTTACACTAATACAAACATATTTGATATTTTTGACTTATATTATACAGAATAAGTCAGTTCTCACGTTAAGATAGTAAAAAGGGTAAAAGGGACAAATGAAAGAAGCAGTGGGACTATGTCAGGGATGACATAATGGGCGTATTTATGATTTTATTGCCCTACTTGGGGTGTTGTTGTGTTGTAGTGTGTGTTAGATTAGATCGTGAACCTGTCCTATATATTCATTTTCTTTTTCTGGTTAGGAGATAGATAGATAGGCCTTTATATATTTATTGCATCTTATAACCTATGAGTTACGTAACCTTTTCTTTCAATTTTCTTTCATTTGCTAGATTCATGATCATAATGTGAATATAACTAAGAACAAAAGCCTTTAAAAACAGTAGTCGTCGTCGCAAGGACAAGGAAAGAGTTGCTCTGCTCTCTGTGCAACAAATGACTTTTAAGGTATAGTGATATTTTCATTAGGGTTGCGCAAACCAAACTTGATCACTTCAGTTTTGATTCTTAACAACAAATAAGAAACATAAGCAAAAAAAATGATGATGATCAAGAAAAATCTCTAGCTATGTGTAATGTGTAGAGACATGTGTATGACGAAATTATTGTTTAGTGTTTCTTACGATACCAGGCTGAGGAACCCACTCACCTAAGGGCCGAAGTGTTGGATTCTATGACCCCATACAACAATGTCTTACTTTTCTCAAAGCCCATTATGGCATATGGGTATATGGTTTAATAGCCCCTATTATAAGGGGGCATAAACTTCAAATGCTAAAAACATTAATTCTCATACGTTTGTTCTTCAATAGAAAACAAATCTTATGAAAGTGTGACTAATCTGGATATACCGATTCGATCCCAACGTAACTGAATAATCGATCCAGAAGTGTATAGATGTATGGTTTAAATTGTTGTTCAAGAAACATGAAATCAAATTTAAAGTTCAGAGCTGTTTTATTTTTTATTTTATTTTTTGTGTGCAAAGAGAGCTGTTTGACTAAAGATTAAATCTGCATCATCAACATCGCTTCATAATGTAGCCGTCTTTATATTTGCTAAGAAATTCTAAAACCAAAAACTAAACCGAAATTTAAATAAAGCATTTCTGAACTTCTATTATAAGATGATTAATTGATGATGATGATGATGATGATGATGATGATGAAATGTTTAGTTGTGTCTTGGACAGCATAATTAATTTCAGGATTTTAAAAAATCAAAATGCTAACGTTCTTGTTATTGGTTAGGCATCCTTTTCCAACCATAAATAATATTTGGTACCTTTCAAATTAATTTTAAGTTGGATCTTTAATTAATGAAAAAATAATTTAAATGAGTAGATTAGCATATACTGAAGATATAAATAGATAGGTTGAGAGAGAAAAAAAAATGCATATGATAGAAATGGAAATTGGACGACTTTGCAAAAAAGTTGAGTGGGAAAGGTGGTAATGTACAACGTATATTCACATTTTTCTGAACGTCAAAGTCGCGAAACCGCGTCCAAGAAAGCATTTTACGAGTTGAAAGAACACAAAATCCAAATTATCGTAAGACTCATCATCATCTTTTCAATTCCTTATTTCTGTTCTGAAC